CTTTCCTAAATAGCTCAAGTAATCTCAGAGACTTGGTAAATGGTAGGTGAGCATCCCAAGTACTGGGTACACTGCAGCAGAACCAAGCTACAGACCAGGGTGCTATGGACTAAACCCCAATTCATATGTTGGAACCCTAACCCTCAGTTTGACTGTATTTGGAGATGGGGCCTCTGAGGAAGTAATTAAGGTTAAATGAGGTCATAAGGGTGGGGCCCTGATCCAATAGGACTGGTGTCCTTATCAGAAGAAACACCAGAGAGCTGTCTCTCTCTCTCTGCCATATGAAGGCACAGCAATAAGGCAGCTGTCTGCAAACCAGGAAGAGAGCCCTCACCAGAACCCAACCATGCTGGCACCCTGATCTTGGACTTCCCACCTCCAGAGCTGTGAGAGCTGTCGTTTGAGCCACCCCGTCTATGGTGTTTTGTTATGGTACTTGGCAGCCCAAGCAGATGAAGATGGGGGAGAGAGGTGGGCAGTGGGATTGCAGAGGAGAAGGCTTGTTCTGTGCATCCCCAAAGGTTCTTTTCTTTTTTTTTTTTTTTTTTTTTTTTTGTGCGGTCCGCGGGCCTCTCACTGTTGTGGCCTCTCCCGTTGCGGAGCACAGGCTCCGGACGCGCAGGCTCAGTGGCCATGGCTCACGGGCCTAGCCGCTCCGCGGCATGTGGGATCTTCCCGGACCGGGGCATGAACCTGTGTCCCCTGCACCGGCAGGCGGACTCCCAACCACTGTGCCACCAGGGAAGCCCCCCAAAGGTTCTTGATTGCCCAGTGCTATGTTTCTCAAAGGCCATGCTCTTAATTTCTTTACTGCACTGTCTCCTCAAGAGCCCTTCAAGAGATGGCCAAGAGGGAGTGTTCATTCCCAAGCTTCCTGATCACCCTCGTGGGTCGAATCGCCAGAGCTGCAGTTACAAGTGCAGTAGCTAAGGCCTCATCACCAACAGACAATCCCCAGGGGACGGGAACAGGAACCTGCATTTCTGGCAAGGTCCCCAGGCAATTTTATGCATAAAATGTTTGAAAACCACCGGCCTTGAAAGGAAGGCCAGTCCCTCAGCCTGCTGTTAGAGTCCCTCTTTTATGAGGGCTCCTGACTCACCCTCACACCCACATCCACCCCATCGGCAGCCCACAGAGCCACAGGCATGACCCCCAGACTCTATTCAGAACCTCATCATCCCTCACCACCTCCACCACTGCCGTCTGATCTGAGCCACTGTCAGCCCTCGCCTGGACCAGCACAGTTAGCCCCCTAATGGGTCTCCCCGCTTTCTTTCTCATGTGCCCCTGCCACCTGCTGTCAATGCGGCAGCCACCCTGACCGTGTCACTTTGAAACTTCCCAGTGGCCACCCCTCTTTCTCAGCAGGAAATTCAAAGTCCCACCTTGGTCTGCAGGGCCCTTGTGGCCTGGCCCACTAGAACCTTTCAGGTCTAGACTCCATCAGTACAGACAGAGAAGGGCAGGGCCTCGCAGAGGGCAACGGAGCTCTGCCCCCCTTAGCGGTTAAGTGATGACGCTGGAAGAAACCGGGGATGTGCGGTTTCTCAGAAACCAAGAGAGGACGTAATGCAAAGTTGGAACACGTTCATGCTTTTCCAGCTCCATCATTAGTCTTTTAAAAATAACTGATAGAGTCTGCTTTCAATCAGAGTGTCTTAAAAGGCATTTTTAGCCCAAAGTCAAGCTTCTGGCAGTTTGGGGGCAGGGCCTTTTGCAAGCAGGCCCCTTTTTGCAGATGGTCTTTGGCAGTGGAGAAAGAACAGACTGAATTCAGCAGTGGGAGGAGGCGGGGCGGGGACGGGTTCTCCAAGTGGGGTCCTGACCAGCAGCCTCGTTACCACCTGGGGACGTGTTCGAAGTGCAGGTTTTCAGGCCGCACCTCAGACCTTCAGAACTAGGAACTCTGGGGGTGAGGCCCCAGTGTGTATTCCAACAAGCCCTCCAGGGGACTCTCAACAGAATCAGCGGTGCCTGCGGCCTGGGTTCAAACCCCAGCCCTGCCACTTACCAGTGTATGACCTGAGGGCAAGTTATTTCATCTCTCTGGGCCTCAGTTTTCTCATCTGCACAATGGGAGTTGTAGTGAGGATCAGAGCACCAGGCGTAGTGTACGTGACCCACGCACGAGTCAGTAATGTCCATTCCCCTTCATCCCCACATACATATATATATATATATATATATATATATATATACGTATATATATAACATACATATATAAAATACATATATATAACTTTTATCAAAGTAGAACACATATGCAGAAAGTTTGCATTGTATTTTTTCAAAGTAATGACTTCAAATTCAAATAGTAGCAAAGGGTTCATAATTAAAAGCAGCCGCCCCTGCATCACCTCTTTCTACTCTCTAGAATTTCCCATTGCATATTTTTTAATTGCACACGTTTACTATAGTAAATCAGAAAATGTAGACAAGCAAAAGGAAAACCAAGTATAACATGTTAAATCCCATTTCTCATTTTAGAATGTCTTCTTCCAGGTGATTTAGCCATGTTTTTTCCTCCAGAAAAGGTCTTCATTGTATTTTTTCGGTGCGTTATAGCTCTAATCACAGCCTGCCTCCAATTTAGGGAAGGAAACGAGTGTTTGTTGAGAAAAGGTGCTCAATTCTCACTATTCAGAGCGTAGACCAGCAGCCTGGGTACCACTGGGAAGCTTGTCAGAAATGCAGGGTCTCGGGCCCTACCCCAGAATCTGCATTTTGACAAGATCGTGGTGACATTAAAGCTGGGGAAGGGGATGTAGACCACAGAGCTACTGACACTTGCAGTCACGGACTGTTCTTCACAGTCCTGGATAAGAGACTCGAGCCAGAATGTAAATGCATGTGGCTTCCTTTACAAAGAGAAAGACGCTACAAAGTACTGCCAGCTGAACTAAGCAATGTGATTGATGAGGAGGGTGATTTACATTCTGGCCAGAGCTCCTTAGCTTGTCAGGGACCAGGGACACGCAGTTCCTGGACTCGGCACCTGTCGTTCGTCCGCACTTGGAGTAGCCGTGCTCTTGAGATCACATGGTTGGGAAGCTGGGGGCTGGGACTGCACTGGGTTTCTCGGGCTTTAGATCCTGGCCTCTTCACCCTGTGTGTACCAGATCCTCCCACCGACTGTAACACACACACACACATGCACGCACAGCCTAGGAGAGCCCTGGCCCAGAGTCGGTGATTAGGAAACGTCTGTCTCCTGATTGTAGACTGAGGCCTCCATTCCCCTGTGTCTCTGTCCGCACCAGGCCTCTGTTTACATTAAAAGGGTTACTGTCCTCTTTATCAACGCCTGTCAAGACCAAGCAGGGGACGTGCAGAATGTCTGGAGTCAAGAGAAGCCAAGCAAAAAAGCTTTGATGGACTTAGAAGATTAAGAAAAAACAACTTTGCTCAGCTCAAGTTTCCGACGCAAAAAGATCTCTCAGATCCCAAGGTCCATATCCAGTATTTACAAACTCCAGGCCAGGCTTCTGCCTGCAGTGACAGAGCAGGCACTAGCACGTCTGAGCTGGGAAACAAGGCCACTGGGAAGGTGTGGATTAGTGGAGTGGGGACTGGCCTCATCCAGAATACTGTGTGGCATTTGGTATGCCTTAGAGCCACCTTCCCCAAGAAGGCCATGGAATCCCATGAATGTGGATCACGGGGTTCATTTTAACTACGGCATTGGGAAGACTCAGATGTCTTTCATGTAGCACAACATAGTTAAAAAAATTGGGAGTCAGAGTTTGAATTTCCAGGCCACAATTCTCTGGCTCTGTGACCTTAGGGAAGTTAATCGACATCTCTGATTGTTAGTTTCCTCATCTGTAAAATGGGGCATCATAATAATGACCTCGAAAAGGCATGTCTGTGAAGCACCTAGCACCGACTTATTCATTCATTCATTCACTCGTGTAGTCTGTCCCTCTATACTGAGCGCCTGCTGGGGACCTGGCACCAGGGGTACTGAGGTGAGCTGGAGCCCGCAGTCCAGAGGGAAGATAGAGATTGTTAAAGAACCACACAAATAAACCCTGAACTAGCCACCAAAGGTGCGACAAAGAAAAGTGCCAGAAGCCTGTACCAGGAGCTGGATGTAATCTGGGGCTCAGGGGAAGTTTAGCTGAGTAAGTGATTTTCAGCTGAGATCCCAAGGATGAGTAGGAGTTTATGAGGCAAAGTAGAACATTCCAGGGGCATAATGGGGACTCTTATTAATACCTTCCAGAATGCAGTTTTGGGTAGAGAAGGGGTCAGGTATATTTTACTTTTTGCGGTAAAATTTACACGTAGCAAAATGCACCAATCTTAAGGTAATATAATTTGCGGATTTTGACAAATGCACACACTCATGTAACTGACACCCCTATGAGGATACAGAACATTGCTATCAGATTGGGCTCATCTTCATACCCCTCTCACTGTCGTGGCCTCTCCCGCTGCCGGAGCACAGGCTCCGGACGCGCAGGCTCAGCGGCCATGTCTCACGGGCCTAGCCACTCCGCGGCATGTGGGATCCTCCCGGACCGGGACACGAACCCGTGTCCCCTGCATCGGCAGGCGGACTCTCAACCACTGCGCCACCAGGGAAGCCCAATGCAATGGGTTTTAATGGGAACATCTGATGGTGGTGCAGAGGGATAAGGCTTTGTGCTAGGTTTAAATCCCAGCCCCACCGCTGTCTACCCACTGGGCTTTGCCCAGGTCTCTCCACTTCTCTGAGACTCAATTTCCCCATCTGTAAAACCACAGGGTTGCTTAAGGGTTGAATCTGCAAGTGGTTGCAAACACCCAGCTAGACTTTCGCATGGCAGGCACTCTGAGTCAGCCTCGTTTCGTTTCCAGAATGAGACAGCGGTGGGGAGAGAGCCTGGTGGTTGGAGTCGGGTCTTCCCAGGGCAGCGTGCTGAGCCACCTCTGCACGCGCGTGTGCGCGCACGCACACACACACACACACACACACACACACACCACTAACCCCAGTCTCTCACCCACAGGGATGTGCCTGCAGGCCTTCGTGGAGGCTTTCTTTTACCTGGCCCAGAGGAAGTTCAAGATGCTGCCCCTCCACGAGCAGGTAGCCTCGCTGATTGACCTGTGTGAATACCACCTGTCCCTGCTGGACGAGAAGCGCCTGGTGTGTGGCCGGAGCGCCACATCGGGGGGCCATCCCCCTCACAGTGGCACCCCGCAGGGGGCCACCCCCGCAGCCCAGCTGGCTGAGGGCCATCCCCCGCCCTGCACAAACAGTGCCCTCAAGCTCTCCCATTCCAGACACGCTCTGTCCTGAGGGCTGCTCTGTCCTCCCAGAAGAAGATTGAGCCCTTCCGAGCCCAAGAGACCCCAGGCTTCCTGCCGGGGAAGAGATGGCAGGATGCTGAGAATTCCCACCTGAGATTCCCCCTAATCGTCTCCATGTTCTGCACTTCCAGAGGCTGCCTGATTCTCAACCGCCCTCCTCCCAGCACCTCTTGGTGGCCCACCTGCTTGCGAGCCATCAGCGGACATATGACATCCAAAACGTGACAGATGGCCTCTTCTGTTCTGGGCTCGTGGGAAGCCACCGCCGGGGATAAAACTGCTGTGTTTGGGGAAGGGGGCACCAACAACCCCAAGGGGAAGAGCTGCGGAGAAGAAAGAACTTGAGGCAGCCGAGACTGGGGTCTGCTGAGGCCCCGAAGAGAATATGCTTCGAGCCCAGGGACATCATGTGTACTTCCTACCACCCATTCTGTGAAAGTGAAGTGGAAATACGCAGCAGGCCTGCGGGACTCACCCACCGCGATCACGTGCTACGTGGGTGCGGTTAACAGACCGCCCTCGTTGATTTCATGAGCTTGCCTGTTGCTGCAGTGTTCCCTGTGTTATTCATTAAGATACAATTAACTGAGAGGTAACTGAGGAAGGCTTCTGAAGTCTCTGAGCTGTCGGGAGCCTCTGAGATCATTGTGTTTGACCTTGACCCCAAAGCAGGAGCCCCCCCCAGTCACGTGGCCTCTGATTGATGCCCTTCATGGGTGGGGTGATCACCAAGTGTGCCCAGAGTGTGCAGGGTGCCCTGGAGGGGCGGAGGGGGCTTCAGGGGGAAGGAAAGTAAGACCTGCGTAAGGACCAGAGCGAGCGGGAGCTTAATGTCAGAAGCCGGGCAAAGAGGAGCCGTGCCCTACCATCCATGAGACCCCTTTCCCTGTCTCCATCCGTGTCCCCAGGCGGCCCCTGCTCAGAGGGGAAGCTTCAGAGGCAGCCAAAGGTAGCATTTTGGAAAATGGCCCCAGGCATGTCAGGGTCCAGGGCCTGCTGACAACAGGCAGACAAGAGACTGCCCTCGTACAGCCAAGCTCTCCAGAGTGTTGTTGGATTTGGGGTTAATATGGCCCTTTCCAGAGGGTCCTCGTTATAGGACCCTGGGGGCCCTGGATTTATCTGACCATCAGGCTCTGAGTGAGGAGGATGAAGGGTCTTTGAAGGCATTAATTAGCACGGTGCCCAGCACACAGTAGGACTCAGAAAATGCTCACAAGTGTAGGGCCAGAGAGAAAGTCATTGGTGGCAGAGGTATGTCCTAGACCAGCACAGACATCTTCCTTCTCCTGCTTTTCTTTTCTTTATTTATTTTGTGTGTGTGTGGTACGCGGGCCCCTCACTGTTGTGGCCTCTCCCGTTGCGGAGCACAGGCTCCGGACGTGCAGGCTCAGCGGCCATGGCTCACGGGCCCAGTCGCTCTGCGGCATGCGGGATCCTCCCGGACCGAGGCACGAACCCGTGTCCCCTGCATTGGCAGGCAGACTCTCAACCACTACGCCACCAGGGAAGCGCTATACCATTTCTTGAAGTTGATTTCCAGAAAGCATTCACTTGCCAAAATGGGGTGCAATCATCAGGTTCCAAACCAACCAAGCACACTGAATTTTTTAGAAAAAAAAAAATGTATCGACAGGCTGAATTCCAGCTACATTGTTTGAGGTGATATGTGAACATCAGCTCCCAGGATGAGGACCGTTCTCTCCCCACCCCTTGTGTGTCATCTGGAGGCAGGTTGCTGGATGGCCCCCCAGGGTCACTGTCTAGAAGGAGTCCCTCCAGGGCAGACAGGGCCTGAGAAGCCCCACGGCCCTCGGTGAGCATTGGGGAAACGAGGCTGCCATTTTACAGAAGGCCAGTCAGTGACAGAGCAGGCCCTATTTTCTCAATTTCTTTGAACAGGAAGAATCAAGAGGCTGCTCCATTATTAGAGTGAGTGATAGGAGACCTCCCCCACCGCCTCATGCCTAATAGGAAGTCCCACTGTGTTTATCCCCTTTGGTAATTGCTGCTCGTTTTGTAGGGTGTAATTGAAGTGATTGCAAAAGCAGGTGTTTCCTTCCTCCTGGAAGAGAGGTGCTCCGTGGGGATCTGGGTCCCTGAGCTCTGCCCATGGGATCAGCCCAGCCCTGAGAAGGGCCCTCGGGCACCATCCCGGCCTCTTCTCCCCAACCCTCTCCTGCCCTTCCTGCCCCTCCTTTTGGTGTTCCCACACAGTCCAGACACACCGACGCTGTCACTGTTCACTGGCTGAGCCGCTGCAGGGCCGGCACCCAGAGTGGCTTCAATGAACGGATGAGATCAGGCTTGGTCCGTTCCAGCTTGGACTGCGTGCGTCCCTGGGCCACCGCCCGCCTCCATCCTTGCCTGCCGTGCCTGCTGTGCCCCTTCTGGTGTACCCGGAAAGCATCCTTCCCCCTTCAGTGCTGGCCTTACCTGCTTCCCTCCTTCCTGCCTCCCAGGGGATGTGCTTGGCTTCTCTGCTGTTACGGTCAGGAGCTCTGTCCCCACAGCCTGGTCAGAACGGGGCTTGTAAAGGCGATTTGGATTTGGTGAGTCTGTTGGCACTGCTGGTCCCAACAGGCCCCTCCCCATGTGCGGAGGCAGGGCCCCCTGGAGACAGGTGCCTCCGTCCCCAAACTCCTGGGCCCCTCTCGTATGTCCTCCATCCACTCTCCCAGCTCAGACCCCATCATCTCTTGGCTACACTGCACCAGTCTTCTGCCTCTTAAACCCCTCAACCATCTTCTGTCGCTTTCAGCCCAGGGAGGGCTCTGAGAACCACAGAGGTGACTGCACAATCCCCTAGTCCAGTCAACCCTCCCTCTTCCCAGATAAAGCCCAAGCTCCCTGACCCGGCATTCAAGTCCCCTCGTGATCCAGTCCCCTCCTGCCTTTCCACCCTAAATCCACGCTCAGCCCCCAGCCCTCAGGAGCAGCCCCTGTGCTCCCAACAGGCCCTTTGTGTCGGTTGCTACCACTCGGGAGAGAATGTGCCGGTTCCCACCCGCTTGGGAGGGCCACGGGGCCCGGATCTGCTCGGTGCTGTCCCTCCTTTGCTGTCCCCTCTGCTGGACCCTCCCTGTGTCCAGTGGAAACTTACTTATCTTTCAAGGCCCAGCTCAAGTGTCCCCACTGCCATCCCCCCTACAGTGAGCCTCCCCCTCCTTCTACTTGGGAGAACCTGGGAAGTCCTTTGTTATCACACTTGTGCTGTGGTGTCACGGCGTTCGTTCCCACCAAGCAGTGAGTTCTCTCACAGGCAGGTGCTGGATTCACGCTGGCCCCTCGGGCGGGCACCGAGCCGGGGCCCTGCAGGTGCTGGGCCTGTTCAGCGGGGTCCGAGCGAGAAGCCTGAGCTGCAACACTGCTTCTCTCCCCAGCCCCCTGCGGATGCCCTGGCGGTTCGATTTGTGAACATGTCCGTGTCCCGGGACCCCAGCAGGCAGCGGCTCCTCCGACCCTGGGCAGTCTCTCCGTGTTCCTTTGTGCCCGGGCTCTGCTCTGGGCTGCGTCCCCCGTGGGCAACCCCGTCTGGGAGACTAAGAGCCACCGGGCTGGATCATGCCCACCACGGCTCCTCCATCGGCCATCCAGCCTGTCTCTCCAGCCCTGCAGCATCTGTGGGGGATTGGTTAATTCAGAGCAGATAATCCTCATGTGAATGTAGTTAGTCAGGGTGAGTAGGACCAGGTTGGGGACGAGCCTAGACATTGGAATGGTGTTCCGTGCCTTTCTAGAATCAACTGCCCTTCCCACATGAGTGTACCATCTGTTTGACGCTTCACAGTTTGCAAAGTACTTTTGCCTCCATCCTCCCAACGACCCCACAAAGGATGAGGATTCTCATCACCCTCTTTTCATAGCTGGAGGCACTGATGCCCAGGAGGTCAGGTGACTTGCCCAAGGCCTCCCAGCTGTTGAAAGGCAGAGCCCAGCCCCCAACGCCTTGCTCCTTTCTCGGGCCCGATAACTGCTCTCGTAACGGCGCCTCAATGCTCCTACAGCCCAGCAGGGAGAGGGTTTTGGCCCCATTTCACAGACGCAGAAACCCACGTCTGAGAGAAGCTGGGTGATGGCTCAGGTGGTCCTGGGGTTCTGGGGCTTAGCTTGGTGCAGTCCCACCTGCTCTTTCGCACTGAGCTCTATGGGCTCCGGGTTCCTGAGCTGCACCAGGGGTGACAGCTCCTCTCTCACTTTGTCTCTGGGAACAGAAGACAAGAGATGGAAAGCATAATACACGTGAAAGCATTTTGTAAACCCAAATGCTGCTGGGATGCCGAGTTATCTTCAGACTGGCTTCTGGTTTCCTGCAAAGTGTAAAGGGGTGAGGGGGAAAGGTTCCTCCTGGAATGTTCTAATCCATCAGGACAAATGAAGCCAGAGCAGTCAGCTCCCCTCCCTCTCCACCCCCTTCATCCTCACGTAGTTGAAGACGTTCACGAGCTGAAAAATGGTTTCCGCTGCTCCTCTGACACCTGGACTTTGCCTTGTGATTGGCAGAATATTACTCCAAAATAGCTTAATTTTTTTTTCATTTCTTGATGAATGCCCTAAACTCTTCGGTCCCAGCCTTGACAACTGGCTTGACTGGCTGGCATTTGAGCCCCTTCCCTCAAAACTCAGAAATGATGAGATCTCGCTCAGTGGCCGAGAGCTGTCCTCTCCAAGCGAGGCAAACTCACCCTGACTGGTATTTTTGCCAAATCTACTGAGCTTGACAGATATGGGAGAAATTTTCCCATGCGGTATATGAATTTCTCCCTCATGAAATATGTTCGAATTTTATTTTTCTGTTCCAGGGGCAAAGGAGCTTTGCAGAACAGGCAACATATTCAATTACCTCCGTCTCTAGTAACCAGAAGTCTTGATTTATCTATAACTAGGAAAACCACACAGCATACTGCTTATACATGCACATGCGTGCGCGCGCGCGCACACACACACACACACACACACACACACACACACACACACACACTGAGCACC